AGCATAAAATAGAGTTTAAAACAGTTTATAGGCTCAACTCTCACAGTGCCCTGGAAAGGACCTTGTAGTCCAGTCTCCTGCTCAAGACAGGATCATCCCTGATTAAACCACCCCAGTCTGGTGTCTGTCTAACCTGCTCTTGAAAATTTCCAGGGGTGGAGATTCAAGGTGTTTTATCAGAGTGTTTAAACTTCATGCCTAATTTGAAAAAAGGGAAGACATATTTTACAAATTGAAATTTATTTTTTAAATGGCCGGTCAATTCAGATCCTGTCACAGGGTACACAGTTAAATAATGTTTGTCTTGTAGAGAAGCTGTTGTGGAAAAGAACACTTATTAGGGAAACTCCCTTGTGTATTTGGGGATCAGATTAAAGATGCATTTTTGATTCATGGTACCTGAAAAATCTGGGTGCTTCATCTCTGAGCACAGTAGCAAATTTTTCATGCCAAACCTTTGAGATGCTTATCTTGCCCTTGTGATGTTTTGAAATTCAGAATTGCACTTGAGGTTCTGTGTTGCAGTCATTAATTTGTGAAATCTCAAGAAATAAGGTAGCTGCAAAAAATGTATCAGAACCATGAGAAAATGTAAGTAGTATGTTGTACTGCATTTAGCAAACGAATCAAACTGCAGGAAACGTAGCAAAACAAGGAGGGAAAGGTATATTCCGTAGCTAAGAAATGCTTGAACCTGGGAAAAGTGCCAGGAGAAGAGATAGGTTAGAGAGCGTGCAGGGTGTTTTCCTGGCTTTTTGCCAATAGCAAACAAATCATTGACTTGAAAGAATCAACATGTAAATGTTCAGGGTGACCTTGACATTGTAAATGGATAAGTAAATTCAGCACATAGTGTGCACCATGTTAAGATGGTTGAAAGTTTCACATACTGAATTAAATATATATTTTCAGAGTCTACAGTTCAATGGAACCTGGAACACTCTATAATTGTAAATGCATATAAAAAGAGTATACATACTGTGCACAGCCTAGAGAGTATTGTAAATACTGAGATTGTGCAATTAAATATGATACCCAGGTTAGACTTAAGGACTGAAAGCATTTTTTTTAAACAAAGCCAATCAGATAAAAATTCAAACCACGCTACAGGTACATGGATAGATTTTTATAAACAGTCCTAAAAATAAACAGTCCTAAAAATTTACATTTTAAGTGATTCCAGCTGTTAAGCTATGTAAGTTGGAAAAGCAGTCGCTTTGGTGCAGATAGCGGCAAGGAGCCTACCGCTGTTAATCACGATCGAAGACCTGGCATGTATGATTAATACAGTCATCTTTAATAGAATATTTCTTTGTTTTGTTTGATCTATATTATTGTCTAATTTGTGTCACAAATAATTCAAATAAAGTATCTTATTGTTGCTGTTTTAGCAAGGAAACACAATGAAAAAGCAAGGAAGATAATAATTGATTTTGAAAATGCAGCAGAATTCTCTGTTAAGTTACTCAGTGTTGGCAAGTACAGAGGTATAGGAGGCTCTTCAGCCTACCCATCATCAGGGATGCTGGTTTTCCCTAATAATAAAAAATTGAAAATTCTCTGATTAAAAAAAAAAAAAAAAAAGAAAGAAAGAAAATTCTCTGATAAAACCCCCCCAAATCTGTGATTAAATTTGAAAATGCAGCAGAATTCTCTGTTAAGTTACTCAGTGTTGGCAAGTACAGAGGTATAGGAGGCTCTTCAGCCTACCCATCATCAGGGATGCTGGTTTTCCCTAATAATAAAAAATTGAAAATTCTCTGATTAAAAAAAAAAAAAAAAAAGAAAGAAAGAAAATTCTCTGATAAAACCCCCCCAAATCTGTGATTAAAGTGAAAGCCATCACCCCCCACCCACAGCTCCTGCTCCCCCAACTCTCCTGGGGGCCCTCAGCTGCCACAACTATGAGGCCAGGGACCCAGGTCCATACCCACTTCCCCTGGCAGAAGGCAGCTGCTGCAGCAGAGCAGAGCCCGGCTCCCCACCCTGCTGCCTGCTGCTGGCCCGTTGTGGGCTTGGGTGGAGGGGGGACTGCTCTCTGCTGTGGTGCACACTCCCGGGGGTCAGGAGGACCCATGTCCCCCACATATTTGCTGTGCATTGGTGGACTCTTGCCCTGCTGCCCTCCCCTGGTGCTTCTGCAACCCTGTGCTACAAATAACAGAACTGAGCAGGAAGCTGCCTGCCACTGTGACCTCCATGCTGTCCTGGCAACATGTCCCCTGCCTACACAGCTGCATCAGGAGTGGCAGCACAGGGTTGCATGCAGGGGATGCGGGCAGCACAGAGCTCGCAGTGGCAGGCAGCTTCCCACATGGCTCCACTCTTCCCTGCAGCACCAGGTCACACACACTGCGGCGGCCCCCCCCCCCCCGCTTCCTTGGTCTGCACGCAGCAGTGGAAAACCAGCCCTGACCCCCTGGACGAGCTGCTCACAGCCCCGTCCTGCTCCCTGCCAGGGCCCTGCAGCCGCGCATTGCAGCCCCAGGCCCCAAGTCCTAGGCACTGCCTGGCTGGGCAGCAGCTCCAACCCCAGCCATTCTGCCCAACTTCCTCCCTCCCTATGGGGGCCTCAATCCCCCCATCCCTCAACTTAGCTGTTGGAGCTGCTCTCCAGGCTGCCTGGCAGCCATGGGCATGGACGTGCACATGGCACCCCATGCCTGACTGTCCTTCTTCCACTACCTTCAGCCCCTTAGAGGCTGGAACTCTGCCAACTTGCAGAGGAGTCATCGGAAAACTGCAAAATCCGCAAGTCTCTCTAGTAAAATGAAAAATCCGCGTTTGCCTCCAGTAAAAGGTTAAAATCCGTAGTTTACTCCAGGTTTTTTTAACTCCGTGGGAAACAGAAAACCTGGATCTCTGCCCATCAGGATGACCAGTAGTTAATCAGGCAACTGAAAGAGGAACATTCAGCAAATCTCTTCTCTACTTGAAAGACTTCACTGTTGAGGGTTGTTTATATGTTTATTATTAATTATTTACTGCTTGTAGCACTTGGTGAGTTCTGGGTACATTTTTCCAAGCCCTGAGAACATCTGTCTTAAAAGACAGTTTGTGAAAAGGATTGAGAGCTTCCTACACTGCTCAAAGCTTACTCGCTTTTTACCACTGGAATGAATGGAAGTTGAGGATGTCTGTCACATCACAGGAGGCATTTGGCATCTGACAGATTTGGTACCCAGGTCTCACTGTCTAGAGGATGCATATGTTACACTTCCATTCTTTCCCATTTTAAAGTCTCCAAAGCAGCTTATTTCCAGAGATTGTGGAAAGGACACGTACCAAGTCTATGCATTTTTGTGTGTCTAAGCAGTTTCCTACTTTTGATAAACAATGCATTTGAAAAAGTCCAGGAGCAGTGTCTTAGATTTTTTTTTTCTTATATGAAAAGTAGTGAGGCTGCTACCTCATCCAAGCATAAATTAAACCATTCACGAGTATTTGGCTTTCAGAAATGATATTGATTTGGTTGGTCTGAGTTCCACCTTTGTTTACCCTTACTTCACTGTTTGCTGCTCTGTACTGTACATGCAAATCAGAGGCAGAGAGATGAATGAGAAAAACCTACTTCTTAATGAGTTACTAAGTGTTCATATGGTTTTAAAAAAACTCACATACACACGAGGGGCAGGACAAAGTCTAAAATGTTCCATGTTTTTCTATTGCCATATTATTTCTTGTTAACATTTAATTCATCCCTGAAAGCTCACAGGGCACTTTAATTCTTAGTCTCTGTTAATACAAAATGAAAAATAATTACAGAAATTAAATATGCATTTCCTATGGAGCAAATTTAATTATAATTAGAACTTACTCCAACATATATGTTATTGAAGTGTGAGAGAGTTATTCATCTTGCCTACTCTTTTCACTATGAAGTAATTATTTAATAATTATATTCATCAGTTGATTATGAGGAAATCTCTTTACTTTCATAGGGCCCATGTCAAAACCCTAGATCCACCAGCCTAGAAATCCCAATTCAAATGTGGAGGATTTGAGTTCCTTCTCTAACCTTCATGACAAATGTCAACAGTGTTGGGTAAACAGTCTTTCTCTTGCTGTAGAAACTTATATGTGAAACAGTAGGGATTTGTATATGGATTTTGGCTTACGCTGGTAATGTCCATTATGTTTGGAATAATGGTCAAAACATGCGTAAAATCATATTATGACGCGTTATATTTTGGCAATGGACTAGATATGTGGGTAAGATTGTTTGGTCTGCTGTGAGTTATAGTTGTGTAAATGCAGTAGTGCTTTGTGAGTCTGTCATTGTATTATCCAACCACATCTTTGAAGATAAATGTATTTATAAACACCAAACAACCACTGTGACTATCGTGTCAGTGTCACTGAGCACAAAAAGCTATAATGGAGACAGAAATACCAACATTTGAAATAAATTCATTTTGCTTCTAGAGGTGGAAAACACTTTGGGGACCACTCTCTAGTGATGGAAAGAAGAGGAAGACTAGAGACACATTAGCATTGTTTTCAAGTTTAATGATAGGTTGAATACCACTGACCCTAGATGATTCGCTGTCCCATGGGCTGAATGTGGTGTCCAAAGTCATGCAATGTAGCCTGGGGGCCCCTCATGAGTCTGGAAATTTGGTGGCAGGGGTGCAGTGGCGTGCCAGTGTTAGTTGCCATGGTTCCTGGAGCTCCCCTGCTGCTAAATTTCTGGACCTTTGTGGAGCTCTGCAGGCTAGGTGACATGGCCCTGTGCTGGCATGCAGAGTCAGGGTGTGGCAGGATCCAGCTCATAGAGGTGGTCTGTGACCCAGTCCGGCATGCAGGGCTGGGCCAGCACAGTGGATTATCCCTATCCACTGCCCATATGCTGGTTCAGGCCCATAGACTGGTTTTTGACAGGTTGGTGGGTTTTTTTGTTTTTTTGATGAAGAAACTTCACACTGTAAAACATAAAGGCAGCCACGTTCATTAGCAAGGAAGCCATTAACCTGATCCCTGTGTTGGCTTGTTTTTTTCAGACTTCCAGCAGTTGTTCCAAAAGTTCATCATTCTGTTGTGACAAAGTATCACAGTAAGTATTTCTTTAGCATTTGGGTTGTACTATCACAGTCCTGTGATGCTTTCTTGAATTGGTCCAATGTAGGGCATGTCCTTCCAAGCTAATGTCACATTTAAAGACACTTAGTTTATTGTCTTTGAAGGAAAAGTGCATGACATTTTATTTGCAGTGGCTGTAGGATTGATCTGTCATGGGTATGTGAAAGATCAATCCTTTATTAAGCTTTAATGAAACTAATATAAGCACCTTCAGCAGCAGAATATTCTCATTTCTTTTTCATGCTCCTACTTCAAATACAATTTAAATGCACAGGCTGAATAGAAGCCTATTCTTTATTCCCCCCAGTATATAAAGCACAAGTGGCATTTAAATGTTGCACAGGCCTTATGCTGCCTTTTGTAGAAGGAAGTATTTCACCAGAAGTAATCATGAGGCTGATAGACTCACAGCCCAGAAGGCATACACCAAACCAGTGCAGTGCAGGTAGCACTAGTGCAAGATTCTGTCCTACTCTGTCAGCATGCCTCAGTCCACTTTTGGATAGGTTATCATTGCAGGTAAGAAAGAGTTTGCTTTCCGTGTCCAGTTAATACAATGCTTTTTTTCTAAGATCCTTTTATATTATGATCACATTTCTGAATGCTCCCACCTGGGAGATGGTGGGATGAGTACTGCAGGGGAGCCAGACATCTTCTGAGTTCTAGTCCTGCCTTCACGATTGATTCACTGTATGATAAAATAGGGTTAAAAATACAGTAAAAAAATCCTTCAGAAGTGTATTAAAATGTATATAGCACAGGGATTTTCAAATTTTACTTGTAAAATATTGCTGTTTGTATCCCGTACACCCAACGCATCTCTGCATGTATGATTTCTGTGCATCTTTACAGATAATACATAATTTTTCTCCTCGTAAAAAGAAGCTAGAAGCTTCACTAATATGGTTAGGGGCCTTAGGGCTATATTGTTCATCTTAAGATTGAAGCAAAAATAAATATACCTTTATTGGAATATGCATTAATTTACTATATGTTGTTTGCTATAACACACAACAAACTAGGTAAAAAAATATTCAAAAGTTGTTGTTTCATCCCTTAGGATGTTACTGTCAAAGTCTGGTGACGCTATTATTCACTACACATAGACCAATCAGAAGCCCCACCAGATTTATTAAAATTTAGGCACATACCCCTTGGCAAAGAACTGTGTACCCCCTTGGGTTACATGTGCCCCGGTTGGAAAATCACTGATAATAGTGAAAGGGTATTTTTTACTGCTTGTTGACAGCATTTATGAACTGCAGTTTCAAATGAAATATCGGGAGCCATAGATGCCCTTTTATGAACCCAAGTAGAAATTTCTACTCATTACCTTTCTCTTTTTTTCCTTCACTTCTTTCCACTACTTCACCCAAACTGTCACATCTAATTCTTACCAGAAGTGCAGACTTTGATCACGTTATGGAGGAGGGCTATGAACTTGACCTAACTTACATCACGGAGCGGATCATTGCTGTGTCCTTTCCTGCGACCTGTTCAGAGGAAACGTACCTGCACAACCTGCAAGATGTAACCCGAATGCTTAAATCTAAACATGGAGATAACTATCTGGTGAGTGCAGATTCATTCGTTTTAGATACTGACACCAATATGAATCAGAAGTGGTGCTGAAAATACAACTTTATTCCATTTTTACAGCTGCGAGAGACCTGAAACTGGCATAATTTATCTTGCTCAGGCATGCAAGTTGAGTAGTGCAAGACACCTTCCTGTTGGTGGCACTGCAGTATACATTCTGAGTGGCTTGTTTGTACATTTTACAGATGTTGCAATGGAATAGGTTTAGGGATTGTTCTCATGAAACAAAATAAGCCCCCACAAGATCCAGATGCCATACTGCAGAATATGTTTTTTTCTAGTAGCTGGTGAAATCTAGATCCTCAGTGGGATGTCTGCTAGTGTCTTACCATCCTCTCCTACTTGTCACCATTTCTGACTGTGATGTTACCTAAAGGGTAGGTTGTTTGTTAATCTGTTCCATTCAGTTCTTTTTCATTTAAGTTGATTTAGATTGATTTTTCCCTATTATTTATTTTCTGAAGAAAATAAGGTTCTGAGCAAATTTCTAATAAACTCCACATTCAGAATCTTTTATGATGACCAGAACTGTTATTCTCTTACACTGTGTGTTTTCTGATTAGTACATTTAAACTCAGTGGTATGTGCTGCCTCATTCTCTGAGAGCGCTTAAAAACCAGAGCCAGCATTTCTGCTGCTAATTGAACTTATTTTTAGATAGCATGTGCAAACTATTAGAACAGAATCCTCAGCTTCAGGAGGGTAAGCTTGACATAAACAAGCTTGCAATGTGATTCTACCTGAGAAACACAAGCTTTTAGTGCTCATTCATGCACAACTAATGTATACATCCCAACTGCATCATGTACAGGTACTAAACTTGAGCTATGCTTGCAGTGCTGTCTCATGTCCTCTGTATGTCCTATTTAATACATGACTCTGCAGGACTTTTTGGTGGTACACAGCAGTGAAGGATTAATGGCCCTTTCACTTTACTCAGCATTCCAGGTTCAGTCTGTGGGGCATGGGGTCCCCAGCCACTTAGAAACTGGACAACCATTAAGTCATATTATAAAAGTATAATGATACATTCATACTAAATACCATGGTTCGTTCAAACACAAAAACGATAAAAAATAAGCATAGTTTAACGTAATCTGTTGATAGAGATCAAACACAAGAGTTTTAAATCCAATTTGGGGAGATATCTGTATATGACAGTATCCCCAAAAGTCAATCACTATAATTAATGAACCCTCAGACAACATGGTTTTCATTGACTTTAGAAGGTGCTGTTTGGGTGGTCAAACACTTAACGTGTACTTAAGCATGAACTTAAGAGCTTTTCATTAGGCACCCACCTTCAAAAAAAAAAAAAAAAAAAAAAAAGAAGAAGAAAGAAAACCATGACCTGTGAATCTGAGTTTAGGCTGTTGTGTTGTAACTTAAGGTACATTAAATTAAACTTGGTAAGGATAAGTTATTTGTTTATTATATCCTTAGCTGTTCATGTCCTTACTTTTTATTACTTGAGTTTGTAGATAATATGGTAGAATTGATACTGGTATATTCTACGTCTAAATGGAATAAGATTTCCGCTTAGCCTTAATAGTCTTTTTAGACAACATATTTTTAGTTTTGGAGCATTTACTATTTGATCATGTTATGATTTAGAAATCATTTTAAAAGGGAAAATTGTCTTCAATTTATATTGCTTAGGAATATAAGGTGAAGGTGAAGAGGATCATAGAATGGAATAGTTTAGAAACCATACATCCTGCAGCTGTGCAGGAAGTTGCCTAGATGACTGCCCAGGTTCCTTGGAACCTTGTGATTCTATAAATGAGAAAAGTAAACTATTTTATCACTTGCCAAGGTGCTTTCTCTCGGTAAGGATTGAGGCAAGGATGGGGAAGCTTTTACTTCTTCTGGGTGTAAATAGATAGTCTTTTTTCTCCTACGCTACCACCTGCAAAAACTTCATGAGCATTAAACTGATTTAAAGAATATAAAACAGATTCACAAAGTCCTTAACGGTGAATATACTCAGGGACATGGACGGATCTACGATTTTGAAAATAGGGGTACAGATGGTGCCATGCATCTTCACATATAATACATAATTTTTCTCCTGGTAAAAAGAAACTAAAAGATTTACTAATATGGTTAGGGGCCTTAGGGCCATATTATTCAGTTTAAGGTAGAAGCAAAAATAAATTCGGCTTTATTGGTATGTGCGTTAATTTTCTATATAATGCAGAACAAACTAGCTAAAAAAATACTCTAAAGATGTTGTTTCTTTAGGCCTGTAGTCTTTAGAATTAAACGTACATCTCTTTCCGATTCATAACACAAAATCAAGTCTTCTTGAGCATCTTGACAGTGCATCCAGGTATTCACTGAGAGTTATTTCCACCCTTGAGTTAATGTTTTTAGCTAGAGTTAAAAACAGTCAGCAGGGCAGTGAAATAGGAGCTACATCACCAGGAGCAGCTATTAGACAACAGAATTGCAAAAGAAAGAATAGTCTAGTTAGTAGAACATTAAGACCATTAAAAAAGGAGAAAGGGTCACCTGAGGAGTGAAGAGTTTAGAAGGAATCAGGCAGATTATAATGAGCCATGAAGTCAAGAAAATCTCTAACCACTCCCTGAATAGAGCATGCTGCCACTGCCCAGTAGTTTTTTTAAAACTTTGGATGGACCAGCAATCAAAAGGGAGTGCAGCTGTTCTACTGCACCTGCCTGGATCTGTCCCTACACAGGGAAAACACTCATGTCCTTTACATAGGATCTGAATAACTGGGCTCTGTATGCACCACAACAGATAAACTAAAGGAAATTAAATTAATCATCTACTCCTTCCCCTACTTTCCAAGGGCACTGCTACAGTTCAGCAGCTACAAGTAGCCCCTTGTTTTGCACCCTTAATGTAGATGTTGGTGTGTCTTGACCTCAGGCCTCCCATATGAGGCTATTACAAAGCTTAGTGTGCCTGCTGCCCCCACCCACAGTATAAAGCTTTGGTAAGATTGGCATCTCGGTCATTAGTTGAACTACCCCCAAAATCAGGGCCATATTTAAACAATGCTTTAAAATGATTAGAAGTCTGAATTGTATAGAAGGAGTGAGAAATTCTTACTGGATGATGATGATTTCCATATTGAAAACTATTAAAATGTTTTGCTATCCATTCTACAGCATTTTTAAACCAGCCTGTAGAATTCTCTTTAAGGAATATAAAATGCTAAGTTCTCTAGGAATGTTTAATGAATGTGTCATTTCCTCATCAAATTATATAGCTATTTCTATAGAGTAATCTTAATCAAATTATACTGGTTCCATATGATGTTTCTAGTAGGGTTGCCTTACAGGCCTTGTCTGTAAAGCACTTGTTGGTGAGATGTGCAAAGATGATGCCCCACAGCTGATCTAGCAAACTTACAGCTCTCCTAGTAGAAAAAAGCATCTGCTATTCAGGGGAGCTGGTATAACTTGGAGTGGCAGAGATATCCCTGCTGCCAGCATGTTCTCTGGCTGCCTCTGAGGTCTGTGTTGACCATTTTGCTTCCAGTTAAAGCAGCAGCAGCAGTATAAACCCCATGATGTAGACTAGTGGTTCTCACCTGGGGTAACATGGCATTGAGAACTTGCCAGTGTGCTGCAGTGTTGGTGCTGTTACCACTGCCATTGCAGGGTGCAACTGCCCCTCATGCCTCAGTTTCGAGGAGGCACATCAGAGCTAAATCACGAAGAGCTGCTGCAGAAGTGGTATGCCTGCCCGCATAATGTATTGCAGGCAGGCACAACTTTCTACTGCAGCTGCTTCTCAGTTCAGCTCTGACATACCTCCTGAAAACATAGGCACATGGAGTAGTTCCATCTGTCCCCTGTGCCTCTGCCTTTAGGGGATACAGTGCAGGGTCAGATAGGGAAGGACTGTAGCAAAAGCATGAGCTCCTGCCACAGCCACTTCCTGATCTGTCCCTGCAGGAGGTGCATGGCACAGTTCCACCTGACCATAGCAGCAGTGGCAGTGAATATAATATAATTATAATGATTGAATCTGTTACTAAAATATTGATTAATAAAATAATTATAATGTTTATATTATACCATGCATAATATATTTAAATTTGTTTTTTAAATGGGGTGCTGCTAAATTTTGAAAAGTTTTGGGGGGGTGCTATGAATCTAAGAAGGTTAAAAATGACCGAGATAGACATAGCAATAGGTAGGTAAAATAAAATAGGTGGGTCTTGCCTGCAGGTGGTATCGACTTACAGCTTTTTGCATGTGCAAAATATAGTAAACGTATGTGCTTGTGGTTAAATAATTAAGTCGTTCAATGATCTGTCTACTGTACAAATCAACATGTTGGATTAAAGAGCATTTTTGTTTTTTTTACAGTTTAAGGATAGTTTTAAGAGGCGTTAAATGATTTCAGAGAAAGTGCTCATGGTCGTGATACTTAAGTAGCAGAGTGAGTGCAATTAACGTTCATAGCAAAGCCTCTTGTACTGGCAGGGTAGTATAAGAAGGATAAAGTTTAAATACAAATCAGGCTTAATGACATTAATTTTATTTCTTTAGCATAGATATTTCCATAATTTAATGTTACTAAATGCTGCTTAAAAGTGAAATGCATGAAATATGCTAGTATATATTTCCCATATATTTCCTTGAGTGCTTGGGATCCAGCAGACTTAACTATATGATTGAATCACAGAAACAGTAAAATCTTGCAGGTTAGATACAGGAGCTGGGAAATCTTGGGTCTAGGCTTGCTTTTGTCATATACTTCCTGTTCAGTCTCACACAGACCACATTTTCAAACTTGAAAACCTAAAGTCAGGTATGTAAATCTGCCAGGAACCTGGCACATTCACAGACCTGACTATGCTGGGCAGCTGCTTTGTGTAATATGGATATCTCTGATCACATCTGAGGGAAAGTAAATGGAATAGAGTACCACTGTGGTGCATGTACAGATTGTGTTTTCAATCTCACTCTTTGGTCTCAGTAAAAGCAAATGCTGTTTTAGGTTTATTTTTTCATTTATTTAAGATACATATATAGGTATTAGTATCTGTAGTTTCCTCTTATACTTTAGTGTACTTGCTCTGAATAAAGATCTTGAATATTGCAAGCACTAAGCTTATCTAACTTCAAATACTAATTTAGTTACTTAAAGCAAATAACAAATATGAAGGCCCACCACTATAATTTAATTTCATTAGAATACATTTTTGACACAGTGATTTACCACATACGTTATGAAATATCAGTGTTTAATTCTTTTTCTTCTTCTTCTCTCATCTTCCCAAACAGGTGTTAAACCTTTCTGAAAAAAGATATGACCTTGCCAAACTCAACCCAAAGGTACTGGTTTTCTTTCATAACCTACCTCACTTGCTAGACTTAAATATAGTATGAGTAGGTTCCTGTGAGCCCTAAAGCTATACATGCTTTGATGTATATTGTTTGATAACAACTTTTGGAAAAGTTCAGAAAACCACAACAACCACCCTTTTAATTCATTTTCCAGTGTTGTAGCTTTGTGCACGAGAGCTACGTTTTACAAAAGTGTTTCATTGTTTACTGTGGCTTTACATGTAAGACCTGATTTGAGCACCTTGGAAGTGAATGAAAATATCACCATTGACTTAAGTGAGCCGTGTGCCCTGTCTGCTTTCCATGTGTCCACACAGTATCTATGGTCAGATAATGTCTTAACTGTGTACACCCCAGTAGTCTGAAGCTGACAAACTCAGTTCAACATAAGTTCATGTTTCATAGCATTTTCTTCATTTCTTCCCAAGTATAGCTCTGCACACTGGAAAAGCTATAACAAGAACAGAAAATCTTCATATCTTTGCTCTCCCACATAGCTTTTGTTCCCTGATTTTTATCTTCATTTGTTGCCACATTTTCTTAGGAGTGAGAGGGGAACCTGGAAGGTTGAATATCCATCTGGGACTTTAGCTCACTGAAATCTTTAAAAGCCTTTCAATGGTTACCTGGGGCCTAGAACAGCATGGACGTACACATGCAGCAAAGGCATTATGGGGGCCTAACAATGGTTGGACTGTTGAGACAATATAATTGAGACATTAGAAGTTCTGTCTTGTACCCTGTAAGCAGCTGAAATGTGTATGCTATAAGACTCAAGGTTACAATTTTTGGAATTTGAACGATATGTTGCTTGCAGATATGAAAAAAGGTGCTTTACTTTAAACTTGGCATGCTCCCATGCCAAGCCCAGCGCCCAGAAGAGGCATTGCGTTAGTTGGACCTGGCTCGCCCTACGTCTTTATAGATTGAGCGCTTTAGTGCAGCTCTTTGGTGTTTTTTTATCTAATAGCTGATTGAATCAGCTATTAGATAAAAGCTCCAAAAAGCCCCAGGTAAGTGCCCCGCCCAAATACTCCAAAAAGCCCCAGTGAATATTCCCTGCCCAAATCAAGACTACCAGTTGACATTTCCAAAAATATTCTAAACCAAAAACCCCACAACTATCTAGATCAGGGTTCAGAAACGTATGGCCTGTGGTAGAATCCAGTCTGTAGCCCCTTTGGATTCAGGCCCAGAACTATGGCTTCAACAGCAGGGTCCTCTGCCCATGCCATACAGCAGCCAGGCACTGGAGCCTATAGTGGAGGGGGAGATCCTCAAGCATCACCCCACAGCTGGGTACCCAGGGCTTCAGCAGATGGGGAGCTCTCCCTATGCTGTGTCCCAATTGGGCAGCATGGCCTCTGGTAGACAGGAACCAGGAAGAAGCAGCAGAGGTGGCTGGGTCCTAGTGCTCACCCTGTTCATATCTGAGCTGGGTCATTCTAGCCCAGGGGTGGGCAATTATTTGGGCCTGGGCACCACATAGGGAGTTTTGATGAGTTATGGTGGACCAAATCAGCACCGCCCCCCCCCCCCGCTGCAACAACACACCCAAACTTCCTGTGTGGAATGGGGCCAAGGGTGGCAGGGAGCAGTGTTTGGGAACAGTACATTTGGGCAAGGCCAGGGTTGCGAGGCAGTGACAGGGTCGAGCCCAGGGCAGAGCTCCGATCTGCTCCCTGCGTGCCCCTGCCCTGTGCAGGGGCTGCTGCCTGGGCACTAGGTCCCAGGAGCTGGCTAGGGGTGAGGGAGCAGGGGGCTTGTGTAGCAGAGTTTGCCCAGGCAGTGCGATCTGTGGCTGCTCCCACTGTGCTCCATGTGGGGCTGACCCTGCCTGGCACCGCCCACACCACGGTGCAGCCCATACCACACTCCAGCCCACGCTTATCTGCCTGGCACTGGTTGGCCAAGTAGGTGGAAGGCAGCAGGGAGCTACATGGTGGGGAAGGAGCCAGCCAGCTGAAGCTTCTTCCCCATCCGGAGCGGCAGAACAGAAACAGGAGGAGGAGGCGCTGCTGGAGGGGTAGGGAACTTAGCAACACCCGGGCAGGTGCAGCTGCACTAGCAGCAGCCCCGCTGAGAGCTGTGCACGCAGGCCTGGACCAGGGCCAGTGGGTGCGGGCTGGAGAGTGGCACGGGCTGCCCCAGTTAGCCACTATGCATAGCACTGTGGGGACATCCGTGGGCTGGATCCAATCAATTAGTGGGCACCCCCCGCAGACTGGATCCAGTCAGCTGACAGGCCATATTTTGCCCAACCCTTTTCTAGTCCCTTGCTGGAAACATTGCTGATCCCTGATCTAGGTCAATCAAAATTTTATGTTCCAATTTTGACTTTTTAAAATGATTTTACTGTTTTTTAAATGAAGCATCATTTTGAACAACAAGAAAAAAATAATCCTCAAAACTTTGTAGTTCAAAATGTCAGAATGAGATGATTCCTAACTTTTTTTTCTTTCTTTTTTTCCATGGGAAATTCATCAGAACTGGCCCTTTCTTGTGATACATTTCCACTTCAATAAGTCAGCCTTTTTCAACAGAAAATTGTAAGAAAATGTCTGACCAGCTAGAGCAAGGGTTGGTAACACAGCCCATGGACCAAATTCAGTCCATGGAGCTAGAGGGCTTTGCCTATGCTTGTGCCCATGCTGAGGCCAGATGATAAGGCAGTGCACTGAACATCTGGAAGCTGCACCTATGCTGCTGCTGCTTCCCTCAGCTGCTACACCTGGGCTATGGTGCAGGTGGTGTTTCTAGCTGGGTGGTGAGCTGCATCACAGGTGGGAGACGGGGTGGCGGAGGCAGCCGCAGTGAGGACGCAGCTTCCAGCTGCCCAGCCCTGGCACAGTTTCCCTGTGGATGGAAGCTGCACCTTTGCTGCAGCTGGGGAATAGGGGGCTGGGGGAAACAGCTGCCTGGCCTCCAGATTGAACAGAAAGCCCCCCACCACTGACACCACCAAAGTCAACCTAGCCCACACTGAACTGGGTTGTTAAAAGTTGCCAGCCCCTGAGCTAGAGCACGAATAAGATTTCTTCATACTTGCCAAAAGTTCAAGTGAATTAGTACTGATAGAAAAAAATACTTCTGTTCTAAGAGATGCATGCAGATGTTTTGTTGATGTCACAAAAAGGTATTTTTAAATAATGAATTTGTGCTGTGATTCTGTTCTGCACAGATTTTTCTGTTTTGGGAGAAGAGGGTACCTTGTACAATCATGGCATATCCTAGGGGGTAGTATTATGTCAGATTGTGAGAGTGTTGAGATGAATTTGTAAATAGAAAGTAAAATTGCTTTTCTTGATTCCAGATAATGGATGTGGGGTGGCCTGACTTGCATGCCCCTCCCCTGGATAAGTTGTGCACCATTTGCAAGGCCATGGAGTCATGGTTGAACAGTGACCCTCAGCATGTGGTAGTGATTCATTGCAGGGTGAGTAAGCAGCATTTGGGTGCCCCTATGATTTTTTATATTGAATACCTTATTATTACCAGAAAAAAGAATATTTAAAAAGCAGGAGTTTTAGCATTTAGCATTCATCACATGATAATTCTCCCAGGTGCTCTGGCTTAGCATCTGACCCAATAAACTCAAGGTTAGGCTCCATGTGCAATGAGGTATGTTTTTCCAAAGTGATTACTATTTCTTTATTGAGTATGTTTAATGCAGTGGTGCTCAACTTTTGTGGCATGCAGGCTGGATCATAAGTGATGCGTAGAGCAAACACACTGGGGGGCTACGGCTCATGCCCCCCTTTGATTGGCCGCCACCAAAGCTGCTGCTGGCTTCTGTGGACAGTCGCTGCCTGCACCTGCCCCCCTCGCTGCCGACATGTCCGGTCCCCACTCACCAGCACTGCCGCCAGCAGCTGCGGGCAGTCCCCACTTGCCGCCGAATGGTAGCCCCCTGATCTCGGGAGACAACAGTTGTTCATGGGCCGGATGAATGGGGTGCAGCCAGTCCGTGGACTGGATCTATTGTGCAGGGCCAGGTACGCAGGCCAGGTCTGATACATAGACTGACCCTGCATGCCGGGTCTGGGACCGCTTGCTGGATCGGGGGCCATCTGCTGAGTCAAGCCAAGAACTAGCTCTGTGCACTAGCCCAGTCCAGCATGTGGGTCCGTGGGGCTCCCCACAGATCCAAAAACCTAGCGGCAGGGAAGTGGTGGCCATGTTGTCATCGGGCTCCCAGAGCTGCCAAATTTCCGGATCTGTGAGGAGCCCCACAGGTCAGATGACTCAGCTCTGTGGGCCATAGTTTGAATACCACTGATTTAGTGCGTTGAGATTTTTCCATCTCTGTAACAAACTTCTGAAGAGACTTCCTCATTTTGTGATAGGTTTACTGACCTCAGTGGGCTGTAAGGGCTCTCAGCACTTCTTAGAATAACTGACAGTTGGTCCCATCAAGTCTTGGAAATCAGTAGAACTTGGATGTTCAAATCTATTGTTAGTTGTCTAAAGTGGGTATTTAGATGCATCTTAATTTCCATTCTGGGATTTAATCATGGAGTTTATATGCTCTTGTTTGGCTATTAGGCCCATTCTGGGTGAATATCCCATACAACATGCCATCCCTTTGGACTATAAAACTGTCACAAACCCATCCACAGGGTCCCCCCCCCAGAGCCCCAAGCATCTTCCTGCTGTCCCACTGCTTGTCCCAAGGAATAGACCAAAGTTTGTCTAGGTATAACTCCTTTATCCCACTAAGCCTCAACTCCACTGCCTTTGTACTGGACCTCATAGATGCAGCGGGGGCATCTCTGTCAGCCCTAGGTGACCTCCCCTTTCTGTTGTTGCAAAAAAGTTACGTTCCCCTTGCTGTACAGTGGGTAAGTCTGGAATATCACAGATGGCTCTGTGCCACAAGCAATCGAGTGAGGAGACAAAACAACAAAAGGATTTTATTATGTAGGAGAAAAGATTTGTACATGAAAAACTGATCATAAGTTTGAAGACAGAACAAAAGACAGGTAAAATTTCATACCTTCTCAACTGGATACCACTTAGCCCCCCCCATGGGAGTTCTGCCAGTGTTTTTAGAAATCAGCCTTTCTGCTTAGTCTACCAGCCCTGGCTGCTGCAACCGTGGATGCTTCTCCAGCCTGCAAAATTCCAAAAGACCCTGACCACTTTACAAGCAGCCCTTATAATACCTCCAAGCCAGCACCCACCCTCATCAGCATTGTCCCAGTTCCTCATCATGAGTCTCCAGAAACTTCTCTCCCTGGGACAATTGGCATTCCTCTGGCTGATGGGCCATTTCTCTCAGATGATTTCACTATTGAGGAGCTGACTTTTCCATTGCAGGCAGCCAGTGCCCAACCCAAAAAGCTCTCCTGACTGTGCCTAGGAGTGGCAGTTCTTATCCTAGTGGCGCAATGGCAAAGGATAATTAGCAATTCTGCCTAGCCCCTTTTCCTGAATATGTCTCTCTCAGATCCCTTGACCAAACCATATACAAAATCATAAAAATATAAACAGACAGCATAATGTAACAGTGATAAACATGAAATAAATGGATATAGTGTAACATGGACTTTCCAGTGAGACCACGCAAGCCATATCGGTGAAATATAAACACCAGAGAATTTGTGTGATGCCCCCCAAACCCTGCCGCTCATAGTGGGGTTCGTGACAAATAACTATGTTGTACTGCTGTTGCAGTGTGTGGGAAACGAGGGCAGTCAATACCTCCTGGGCTCAGGCAGGTTGAAACGGACTGCATAATTGCAGTGCCCTAAGGTGCTGTTATTCTTATGCAATGTTTTCACTTCTCAATATTTGTTTGCTTCAGAGAGAAATAAAGACCAATCTAAATAAAAACAAAATAATTAATTATGAGATTATAACTGAGTTGGCAGATACATTGGTGACACTTGAGGCAAATACATCTGGTATTGCATGGGCTTTGATGTCTGTGGCAAAACTCCCATTAACATGGCCTCTGGGTCTACAGTTGGTAGCATATGAGCAGACCTTACCTGTGTGGAAATCTGTTGATTTCTTGTTGGTTGAGCCTTAAAAATGGCACAGAAAGGAAATCAGAATAAGGAGACTTGGGAAGTAAATATGTTCATTTTGATGGACCCATTTTGACCAAGACAATAACTGCACATCAGATAAAAAGCAAAAGATGGCAATGAATATTAAATATAAATCACCACTGAATAATTGTTGATGAACTTATTTAATGGCTTAAAAGCTTCCCTCTGCTATCCTTCTTAGACATTGCTGAAATCTGTTGTCTGAGTAGTCTGGAAGCATGTTAAAACTAGTAAGAATTAGTGGTTGATCATGTGTACTGTAAATGTCATGTTAAGATTTTGAAACATCCTAAAAATACTCCATAAATCATGAGGGGTAGTTATTATAAATCACAAGTGCCAAAAAATGCTAAAAATTGTCAGAATCCATGGGCACTTTTACACGTGCTCCAACATGTTTTGATTAATCAGAATGCTCCAGTGTGCTGCAGTGTCTTGCGTATTCAGTGTCCCCATGTTGGTAGTGGGAGTGCTTTAACTCATAGTTTCTCAGCCTGTGGTACGCATACCCCTGGGGGTACATGACACAGGCAGGGCATATGTGGGTACCCCAACATTCTCTCTCTCTCTCACCCTCTTTTCCTCTCAAAACCATGGCAAAAAATTTGGTGCACCACGTATTGCACAGCACTTTAAATTCCCCAGTAATAATTCAGCCCTCCTAGCTTTGGCCTACATCACCTCTATCTCAGGTACATACTTGAGTTGTGCACCCCTGGTGTAAAAGGTGGCAACCCTATCCACACCAGATCAAACATCTGTCATATCATGGCCTTATATAAGCAGCCCTTCTTCCAACATATGGCACACATTAGTCTGTAAATATGAAATCCCCTGGAAAATTGAGTATTGGGGTACTTATTAAAATGTTCAGAAGTTAAGGGGTACTTGCTACTTAAAAGGTTGAGAAACACTGCTCTAACTAAAGCTCATTGAACAAGCTTTAGTTAAAGTCCCCCCCAGCACCATTTTGAAATATGGTACACTGAACACATGAGACACTGTGGGCATGTTAATTAGCGGCTCCCAAGAGCCACTGTAATTAAAGGCCTCTTCCTACCCTGGAGCACATGTATGGGTACCCCAAGTGCTTTATGGAATATGTACTTTGGAGCACATCATGCCAGAAACTGCAAATTTGTCTAGGCTTGTCTTGGACGAGTGAAAAAAGTAGCTAATAGAATGTTACTACCACTGTTCATGGTTATCTCTGTTTTAATTTATAGCTTGGTTGGCTTTGATATAAAATTATACCATGTACATAACAAATATATTCTATGTAAGGAGTGATTAAAAAAAAGAAAGAGAGAAATGAAACTGATTCATGGGTTTTGATTAAAGGAATTTTTTTGGTTTAACTTTTTTAAAGTTTAATCAGATTTTCAGGGTGGGTGGGGGGTGAAGTGGGCGGCAGTAGTGCTGAGAGGTGGGGCTACAAGATGGGCTACAGCCACCCCAAAATTTGCTGTCGCTCCCCTCCCAGTGTTGCTGCTGCCTGCGCTGCCCTGCCCCGGCCCAGGCCCCCCCCCCCCTAAGGGGGGCAGCACAACC